CGTGACATACGTCAATTGGCGGCAGAGGGCCCGGCCCGCACAGGCGAGACATGCGGAGGCCCACACACGCGCATCAGCGCGGCGCGTCAGTTCCAAGGCACTGGCAACTATATACTGCTGCATGCATGCACGCCAGCACCTCTTGCTCGTCCTTACCTCATCATCCTATTCGTGACTCGCTCACAACTCAGTCTGATCCTCATTCACTGTCGTACGAGGCCCATCGCTGGCAACCTGATCGGTATCTTACGTGAAGATACTGTTTGCACACTGGAGATGATCGAACCCTAGTGCGACTTCCACATCTCTGCCCCCTTTGTGGCCCTCCGTTGCCGAGCGGAGGTCAACGAACGCGGACCACGTATCATGACCGATTCGGCGGCAACGGGCCCAGCGAACGGCGTACATGCGCCCCTGATGGATCTCAAGTCCGTCAAGGCGACTTCAGATCAGACATGGCGCCAAATTGAGACAATCGTCGCAACTCAAAACAGACAAATTCAAGAGTTGCGTGGAGCTATCGACACGCTGACGGCGTCCGAGCAGTCGCTTCAACAAAGGAACTCGATTCTGAAGGGCAAGTTGGAAGGTGTCGAGGTGACTGCACGCCGTTTGGAAGAATCTCACAGGCGTCAGCTAGATCATGGGAGACGCATGTATTGTGCTCTGAAGAAGGACCATGATGCCCTGAAGGCGGAACACGAACAGATGGTGGCGGATCACAAGCGCCATGAAGAGGGCTGGCGATCATTCAAGGCTTGGTGGCTCAGCAAGGTGAACTCAAACCGAAAGAATGCCGATGAGCAATGCACACCTCGCACCATTCGCAAAGGCAGCAGCTCTTCCACCAGCGATCAGCGTGATGGAGATATGTCAGCTCACGTTAAGCAGACCGCTCGGCAGCTGAAAGAAGTCAACGAGGCTGCTACGAGCCGCCAATCAACTTCCACCTCGAGCAAGCGTAAAGAATCGCTGAGCTCCGCTGATCGCAAGATGCTGCGCCACTTTGGACTAGACCCGACTCAGGTGGGATGCTCCGGCCCATTTTTCGTGCCCACAAGTATGGATGGTGTTGATGTATTACAGGGTCCCGACGAGGCGCGCATCACCAACCTTACAGATCACAGTCCTGAGGGTCATGGAGATGGCTGTCAACAATGGGCGATGGCTTCGCCATGCGTCAAGCCTATGTCTCCCGCAAAACCCGTCACTCCGTCGTATGAGGTGCTTCAGTCCACGCCTGTCAATGTTACCGTCAGATCCCGAACGCATACAGATGCTCGCCAGTCAGCCGGTGGACGCGAGAAGAAGAAGGTTGCTGCAAGCGAGGTTACGCCTGCGCGCTCACTGCCTCAAGATGCAGATGACGTCGACAAACCCCAACATCTCCGTACATCACTATCCAAAGATCCGCACAGTGAGCAGCGCAAGAAGAGTCCAACGCGTTCCAAAGACGAGCACCGGGCGGATGGCAGCATTCCTTCGCCACTGCCTGAGGCTGCGAGGCAAGGGCGCGACCGGAGGCTGCCGAACGATCAGGAAGATGTCGAGCCTGAGCACATCAAAATTGGCGTCTCGGCTGTTCGGGCCGCTTCACCGAAAAGCGCTGTAGTAGCTACGCTCGGTCCGCCTCCAGAGGACCACAGCGAAGAGGCGCGCAAAAGTACCAGGACTCCTCGCACCTCCAGCGCTACCGTCAGCGTGCCGCATGACGCCATCGATCGGCCAATACTTGACGAAATTACGCGGAACGTCTCCCCATTACCTAAGACGAGCAGCTTCATAGATCTTGAGCTCGACCCAGCCGCCTTTGCGAAGGTCGACAAGGATGGACCGGAGTCGAGTCCGGCTCGCAAACGCATCAAATTGGACATTGCGGACGCGCAGCAGCAGAAGGAAGAGCTCAGGCGACAGAGGCGTGAGAAGCGTGGAGAGGAGGTCGAAGAGCTGGCACGTAATCCGAACAAGTTCAAAGGCAACGGAAGATATGCAAACGAGCTGTGAGTAATCTTCTCTCCTTCTAGGCAAGCCAGAGCGCCGACCTGATACTGCGCTTCGAATGGCATGCATAGGCGAGGTGCCACACGCACCATCAACCAAGATTTTGAGATCGATCCCGCGCAAAATGGCGGAGTCGCCTTTCCCCACAAAGAAGTGATCAGAGGCAAGCAGGCGCGCAAGAGCTTGCATGCATATGACTGTCACTGCTGCGCAGCTGTGAGTAGCTATCGGATTCTTTGCTGGGTCGGAGGTCTGACGGCTCACGAAGCGCCGTTTCCCCACTGTATGTCAGTGGTACGAGGCTGTGGGCCCGCATGCTAGACCTGAGGATCGTCAAGCTCAACTGCAACAGACGAGCCGCCATCGTGCTTATGGGCCTCCTGCGTCTACTCCCGAAGGATATTGGTGAGTTGTCAACTTCTGCGGTGCTTTGCGCACAACGAGCTTCGTTTTCTTATCACCTGTCACGCTCGACCTGTCTTCTGCAGGCGCATCGAGTTTCCGGAGTCAGCTGAAGCGGAAAAGATCAATGCGCAAGCTGAGGAGCAGCGAAGAAACAAGAGGGCGCAAATAGAAAGGTGCGCACGTCTCTTCGTCTTTCTCACCCGTTCGAGCAAGCTGACACTGCCTCGTTCTGCTTCTTAGAGACCCGAGGTTCCGTGAGAGGATTCGCTGAAGCATTTGCGGCCCGCAGCGGTGTCGCGCTAGACACCTTGCCGCAACCACTAGCGCTGCATTGCATTCTTGAGATGCAGACAGGAGCAAATGACATGGATTCGAGTGCATTTTGACTCCGCTTTGAGGGTGAATCACAAGGACGTTGAATGCTTCTCGTCGCAGACCCGACCAGCGCCGGAGTGACCACTGAGCACCGCATTGAACTACAATCGATGGTGCCAGACTCACCCAAGCCTCGGATAGCGCTCCATTTCGGTATTCGCGCGCTTAGCTTTGAGAGGAGGCGGGTCGGACGTATGAAAGGCAGGATGTCTGCGTTCATGCTTGTCAAAGAGCTTCTCGAAAAACTCTCCGAGGCCATGCATCAACTTTGCAAAGAAGCCTGACGGCTGAGGTCTGGTAGATTTGAGCGCATCGTACGCGACCACCAATTTGGCGCCTGGTGGCGGAACAGCAGGTGGAGGTCCACT